TTTAAATAACTATTTAAACTTTTGAGATCTAAAATCAGGAATTTTGCCCCCAAAACTTGACATTAAAGCGGGTGCCTAAACCTACCCACGGATCCTGAATTAGCCCCGGAACTTGACATTAAACCGGGTCCCCATGCATAAGAGGGTCCAACATTATCACTTTCATAAGACACTCTATGTAGGTTTTATTTGAGCTGAAACATTTATCTCCCAGAGATGGGCTGAGTACGATTACCCAGAATAGGTCAACAACCCGAAAGTGCTGCAGGGTGGAAATGCTCGAAGTAGGGATGATTTCAGAGGGGGCTTGGGTCAAGGTCCAGCATGTTTCTTCCAGCGAGGTTAGTGGGTGTAGGGCCTCGGAGCTGCAAGGCTGCAACAGGAGGCAGGATCTTTTATGCTGAGGCTGTCATAGTGCAGTCTGAGCTGGTGAATGAAGTCGTGGCTGAGTAGAGTCATCGTGCAGAGTGGTGGCATCCTGGGAAGATTTCATCTAAAGTCCATCAGTGCTTGCTGCAGGAGGGGGGGCGACTCCACCGATGAGGGAGCAGACCTTGCGCCCATGGAAAGAAGGATCATCTTAAGTGTTAGTCTTCGGGTTGCTGGTGTTACTAGTCATTAATGTTTCTCGCTATTGCTCTAGCACGCTTCCTGTTATTTGTGTATTGCTGGAAATTCAGGTACCTGTTCTTGCAAGTGTGGGGCTGGCTGGATTCCTTCGAAGAGTATCGCTCCGAAGTTTAGGCGCAGTCTTCGACGTCTTTGCAACATTAGGGGGTAGTTCCAAAATTAGGGTCCCATTTTGGTACCTCTAAATATTAGATGCGTAATATAACCTATAGCGGGGCCCATAATTTTGAGAACAACCCATTAGCAGCCACAACAACAGCCTTGACAAGAAGAGAGAACAGAACATCAGCCATGGCACAAGTTGAACGTCTTCATATTTTCAACTGTTTCATGGTGCCTCTCAGGTAGCACTGGCCCGTGCTCTTGATAATGATTCCGCAGCCAATAATCTCGACTGGCACCCGGCTTTTGACCGCAAGCCAGAAGCCTAAGCGATCCTAAGCGCTCAAATTGCCAGATGGTTCCAACCCCCACCCAAACAAGCCTGAAGCTATCGCGTTCAAAGAAAAAACCCCTCCACTCCCCCAATGGTTACTTCGTCTTCTCCCCTGCATATGATGGTAAGAAATGGGGAGGAGCCCTGAACCTTGAATACCTGCAGTGCAGCCTGCGCTTCTTAGCAGCATGGGTAGTGCTGTTGTTCCTTCTACCCCTTCAACTCTTAGCCAGGACGACTAAGTGAACCACCCCAACCCCCCTAAGCCCTAAATCCCTCAACCCCTAAATCTCCTAAATGTCCCAAACCCCTGGCAACCTCCAACCTCACAAAACACCCTAAAACCCTTGAGCCCCAGAGCCTTCGAGCCCTGGGCTCTGTAGCCATGGCAGCCATGGCTCTCCGGCTTCCAAGGTCCTGAACTTACTGCGGCTGAGTGGGGAATAAGGGAATCCATCATACAGGGATTATATTGGGATCATGTAGGGATCATATTTTTGCCTTAGTAACCACCAGTAAGTAAGTGAATTTGGGGTTGGGCGCAGGTGGGTTTTAGAGTTTACCGGTTACCTTCTGGGTGTTCTCGTGTGGCGTACCTACCGCAACCCCATGACAAGGACCCAATTGAAAGTGGTATGGGCTCCTGCGAGGTAAGCAGACAGGCTTCTTTGGCAAGCATTTGGGCTCCTTAATCATTGGTCAGAGCTTCCCTATAACAATCCCCCTGTACTCTCTACAAAACCCTGGGGCGCCTAGGAATAAGTCCCCCTTAAGTAGATAGAATATGGGGCATATGGGGATCTTATTATAATATACCCAAAGCCATATTCTATCTACTTCAGCGGGACTATACCCTTGGGTTTGAGAAGTTTTGTCCCCCTCCCCAAAAGGCGTCCAAACAGGATCCCGGCAGGATGGGGATAGCGCCAATCCCCATGTGATCTTTGCCTCCCACCCCTAAAACCCTAAACCTAAAACCCTAAACCTAAAACCATAAACCTACAACCCTATACCATTTTATATAGCTCCTCTAGGATGGATTCCTGCAAAATTCCCCTCTCATACCACTAGAATGCCTCTGTACCTCGCGTGCTAGATGGTGCCTATCCAGGAGAGGGAAACCCATAAATTTTCCCTATATTGCATCAGGTCCCCATTACCGCCAATCCCGTCATTCCATTCAGCTGAAGAAGGACGGTAACCCTTCGCATGTCCTCGCCCCTGGACCATTCTGGACCCCAAACCCGGATCCACAACCCTAAGCAACCTCAACCCTTGTCACTGTAAAGCCCAAGCCCTCAACCCTTAGATCTTCATCCCGAAGCCCACAACCGTGAACCAAACTCTGGACTCAAAGCCTCCTCTCGCAATCGCATGCAATCGCTAGGCCTGCAGCGCGTGCGGCGCTGACGACCACCCTCCTTCGACGAGGCACGTGGGGGGTTTCTCAAACCGCTGTGCGATTTCAGGTTCAGGGTTCTGGGCAGTTTTGAGGACAGCAGGGATTCTATGGGAGTTTGCCGAAAGATCACCCATACAATTCGTAAGGTAGACGTATATCTCCACAGGTAGCCTAGTTTGAGAAGCTACAGCTACCGTGTGGGGTTTCAAGCTAGTTTACTTGCGTCCTCATAAGATTTTTTTGCGAACGTTCTGAGAACTTCCCTTCAAACCGGGACCATCAAACCTAAAATCTGCACCCTAAATCATAAACCATAAAGCTGAATCCTTAACCAAAAATCCGAAACTCAAATAAATCATACACCCTAAATCATAACCCTAATCATAAATCATCAGCCCAATTCCTGGTAGGATTCCACAGCCCCCTGGCTGGGGAGATGGACCGACTCATCACGCGCCCGGGACCGCGGAGCCGCTCCCGCAGTGGATTCGTGGGGATTTGAAGTTTAGGGTCTAAGGGGGGGCTTAGGGTTTTAGGGTTTTAGGGTTTTAGGGTTTAGGGTTTACCCATCCTCCAAACAAGAATGGAAGCCCAAAGGTACCTGGAAAGACTGCTGCGCTTTGAAAGGGAGCTGTGTGGGCTTCCATGCTAGTGTTTTCGAAGGGAGGGTAAGGATAAGTGTTGGAGTTTGGGGCTTGTGGAGCTAATGTCTCTGTGAGAGGTGTTCATTGCAGCTCAGTGAGGCATACCACTGAAATTTGCAGCTCACTTGTCCGCGTCGCTTGCATTCTTGACGTGATGATTGAAAAATCTGACACTCCCAAACCGGTAGCCTTGAAACCAAACAGCCCTAAACCCTAAACCTTATCCCTGAAGCCCTAGATGCCCTAAAGCCCTAAAGCCCAAGCCTCCCCAAAAGCCTGAACACCCAGCGCTCAGGTCTTTGGGTGCTCTCCACGGAGCCAGGCGTTGGCCCTAGGGCCCAAAGGACTGCTGCGGAGGCCATGCAAAGTTCAGAACAGGGTGTTTAGGGCTCAGCTTTGAGATCATGTAGGGATTCAGGATCTAGGGGGTTTAGGGTTGAAGGGGTATTGTGATGGGAACGGTGCAAGCAGTTGCATCAACCGTCAGATGCCACATGTGCAGCATGAAGTGCCGAGCCAGCTGAAACCATCGGTGCTGGCCCAAGCTACTCAGA